AACTCAATGGAAAATTTGAAGGTTGTATTTATAAATCTGTGATTTTCAAGTTAAAATTCACAAAACTAAGGTTCTAAAGTGTTAAATTTGTCACTGCCACGAAATCTCTTGCTTTAACAAGTTTAGTGTATACTTTGATAGCAAAATTGTCTTACAGCTGTGACAGTACTTTTTTTAAATCTGGTGATTTTCTTCAACTTACTAACGTCAATACTTGTTTCAGTCAATTTGGTCATACGCCCTCGTAATTGGGTATTTAATCTTACTGAAGCAACCCTAAGTCTTTCTAAAACCGGGAAAAGCCGTCTTCTATCTCAGTGATAAAGTATTTACCAATCTGTTGTAGATTAGGTGACATTTTGGATATTTTTTTTACAAAGTCCACAGCTTCATGTTATTTTAAAATACACGTTTTCTTAACACTAATGGGGGTCCTTTCCCTTGATAACTGATTTACTACTCACCCTCTAAATATTTCAGGCGTAATTTATAAGTCAATTCAGCATAGATTTTTATGTTTTAACTGATGTACAGTCTCAAGCAAAAGAAAACTTAACTATAAAACTTAGTCTAAAAAAATAGGTCAAAACTATATGTTGCCATAGTAAAAATAATGGTTTACATTTTTTTATAGATACAACATCTCATTTAAATCAATAATTCTGTAACTAGTGCCTACACACCTACCCACTTATGTGCGCCCTTTCTTCGTTTTACTTTAAGTTTTAGAAAGTATTTTGTTACACTTCATTATCATGTTTAATGTTAAATTAAATGTACTGTATATAATTTCTTAATTATTTCCAACATCAGATATGCAATACCTATATGGGTCTAAACTTCATCCAAACCAAAACGAATATTTAGATTGCAAAAGTCTAAATTTAGAATTATTTTTAAATGAAACCACGCGAATTCTGCAAGTCAGTATTTAAAAATACCAGTTAATGACTAAGTTGAGTTAGCTCAATTTATACTTACAAAAAATACTATTTTTAAAGAACAAAGCAAAGTTGTATGAAAACCATTTTCGTCACAAAGGAAGACAATTATTTAACAAATTATCAATTAATAATCAAAACTCGAAATACGAAAAACAATTAAAACAAATCCTCACTGAAGATTCGATATATTCTATTGAAGACTTCAACGGAAAATGCATCATAATTAACAAAATAAATTATAATGTGTTAAAATTAATACTAAAACTAAGTTAAACATTCATTAATTGTAGCGTCGATACAATATATATTGTAAAGACAATATAGTACTATTGTTATAACTAGCTTCCTTTGGTAAAACAACCTTCGTAAAAAATTCACATGGATCTGGCAATCATCTAAATAAAAAACTAGCAAGCTAAACTTCAGCGTTATTCAATCATAAGGGCTACCGGTGTTGGCGTTTCCAACACTAAATATAACAGCGCGATACAGCGTTACCGTTACCTCCTGCAGTATCTCTAGTCAAGGCCACCCGTGCACCTTGGACTAATATCACGTGAGTCCGTGCTAACACGTGAGCTAGGGACTCGACCTGTTTGTTACTCGCTCCTATTGTAGATAAACTCTCGCCATATACAGGGTGAATCTCGTAAGGTGTCCAGTATTGATTTCAGACAAACCGTTGGTCCTACGGTGATGAAGTAAAATTATTTCCCACTAAACCAACCCCAAGGAATAACGTAAAAATATTTTTAACGATTTTTAAATACAGGGTGTACCAGAAACTGAGGGTCACTAGTCCGAATCTACGAAATATCAAATAAAAACGTATATTATGTTGTACATCAAATTAAAGCTCTTTTCAATCCAAACCATTTGGCGGAATCGGATTTTGATTATATTGATTCTTTTCAAAATGGCGGTTGTTTTTGTGAAAAAATTTGTATTTTTTTTAATACCCTGTATTTTTCATAAAAATGCAGATTTCTTGGTTCTGATTCAAATATCGCATTCATTATGAGCTAAGCTTTATTTTGATATGCAACACTTCAATATTATCTCCAAAACAAAAAGTTTAAAAAATATCAGTTTTTGAAAATATGTACATAGCCAAAACTCAAAAATTTCAAATAGCACCATATGTCAAATAGTATATCATTTTAAAGGTATTGCAATTCTAAGAAACTTTCAAATTTAAACCTTATGCGTATCTATTTTGGTTTTTGAGTTATCAACAAAAATCATGTTTTCCCACATTAAAACGCATGTTATTTGTTAAACATGGTAGTAAAAATGTTTAACATGCTTTAACAATTAATTTTTAACAAATAACATGCGTTTTAATGTGGGAAAACATGTTTTTTGTTGATAACTCAAAGACCAAAATAGATACGCATAAGGTTTAAATTTGAAAGTTTCTTAGAATTGCAATACCTTTAAAATGATATACTATTTGACATATGATGCTATTTGAAATTTTTGAGTTTTGGCTATGTACATATTTTCAAAAACTGATATTTTTTAAACTTTTTGTTTTGGAGATAATATTGAAGTGTTGCGTATCAAAATAAAGCTTAGCTCATAATGAATGCGATATTTGAATCAGAACCAAGATATCTGCATTTTTAAGAATAATACAGGGTATTCAAAAAAATACAAATTTTTTCACAAAAACCGCCGCCATTTTGAAATGAACCAATATAATCAAAATCCAATTCCGCCAAATGGTTTGGATTGAAAAGAGCTTTAATTTGATGTATAACATGATATACGTTTGTATTTGATATTTCGTAGATTCGGACTAGTGACCCTCAGTTGCTGGTACACCCTGTATTTAAAAATCGTTAAAAGTATTTTTACGTTATTCCTTGGGGTTGGTTTAGTGGGAAATAATTTTACTTCATCATCGTAGGACCAACGGTTTGTCTGAAATCAATACTGGACACCTTACGAGATTCACCCTGTATATCGCCGCTCCAATCTTACCGGAATGTGATCTTTATCGCAGCCTGTGTTGGTGATATTTTACTGTTCTCTCAGGTCAAGACTTCGTAAGAAGTCTTCGATGGTTATCTTTTTGCTAGACGATAGTTTGGTGATTTTCAAGAAGAGTTATTTTACTTTACTGCTGTCTAGTTTATGATCAAAACTCTTCACGAGACCTTTCATTCTTAATAACATTAGTATTTATTTACAAAAACTTACATTATGCAGCATAAAATCTTTACATTCTTTGCTTTATTTAGAAATATCTTAATAGTCGGAGAAATATAAGGATATGACCTTAAAAAAATTGCAAGAAAACGTTTTATGGTTTTATTTTGTTGAGTTGGGTTTGCAGAATGACATACTAAAAGTTGCCAAAAATTGGTGCACGAGAAAACCACTAAAATCAGAATTTAAAATGGCGGCTTTTTCCAACATTGGACAAACTAAAAAAAAACATATTTCACATGCATTTGTTATGCACATTTTTCGAGATATTGACTTGGGACCACCGCCTGTATTTATTGGGTGGTAAGTACTTCATTTTGATAGGGAACATGTTTTTGGCCGCCATCTTGGATCCGCCATATTGGACATAGATAATTTTTTTTCAATGTAATGATAAGTGTTGTGACACATTATTACCAACTACATTTTTACACTGATTTCGATGCCGAAATCCGTTTTTAAATATCTTTATTTATTTTAGAAGATATATTCAGACGAAAACTCTCCACCATACGTTTCTTATGGACGTTTCGTAGTTTGATAACTGTTTTAACATTATGTTTCTTATATCTCCAGTTCTTATTGACGCTTGTAGTTCGTTCTAAGCTCCAATATGGCTATGTTTGCTTGGACTATTAAAGTGAAAATCTACATAGTACCAATTTTTGTTTGTTTTATAAATGTAGCCTACTAGAGATGATGTATAGTATTTAGACTCGTTAAAACATAACATAATGTAATGAATGTTACCTCCTTAATTTCTTCGTTTACATTGCTAATTACTGATGTTAAGAATTCTGCTGCGTCCTGTTGTTGTACGACGTCCATGAGGAGATTTTTAAGTAGACATTAAGTAAGGGGAGAGGCCACAAACCTCCAATATACGGGGACACACACACACTCTTATAGGGAGGTTTTGAAGTGGAATGAAAAATAATACAGCTATATCAAAACAAAGCTTTTACCTCTTTAAATCTTTAGGAATATCAGCCAGATCTTTAGATTTGTATGAATTTTTTAATCCAATGGTAATCTCATTACGAAAATAAATTTTGATAGAGACGAATGTTTGTAACCTACGATTTTAAGCAAAATAAATATCATAAGTCAAAATAGCAAACAATTTACACCTCACTTCTTCCATCCCTGGAAGTACTATCACTATGATCCTCTACAGGAGTTTTGAGTACAAAATAATATGACATGAAGAGAAATACATCTCCATTTTATTTCACAATGCCCTTATTTCACCATGGAACTTCCATAACAGCCAATAATTATTTGACTTCTCGTTGTAATTGGTTATCAGTCTTTAGTTAAAATAAATAATTTACAATTATTTGACTAATATTAATAAAAAGTTTATGGCTACCTAGTCAGTAGTTACGGTTCTAAAACTTCTAACTATGATTTTTTTTATTGACTATTGCTCAACAGTTTAAAGTTTATAAATATTATTCTCTCTACTTTATTAAGTCTTTAAATCAATAGGCAAAATTAATTTAATGTTATATAGTAAAGAATAAGAAATAATACAATTTGCATAAAAAATTAAATATTATACATTTCTTAGAGCCTACTGATTGTGGACTAAATTTAGGAGGTGTGCAATAGCCCGAGAGTTGAACTGATGTGAACACATGACCATTGAACCTGTTAGTTATCAGTCCAAGAAATGCTAGTGTTTTGATTTTTATATTTTTGCTGTTTTCAATTAAATGACCGGTATGTATTTTTAGTATTTCAGTGTAACACTTAAATTATGTACGTCAGTAGATTCCTTATTCTGGAATTTGTTTTTAGAATGATGAATATTTAGTAAGAGTGACTCACCAATCTTGATCATGTTGACATATCATTAGGACCTGTCTTTGGTCCATAATCTGGTTGTCTTTGTGTTTCTTCTGTAGGGAAATTAGGTCCATAATTGGGTTGTCTTGGTGATTGTTCAGGTGGATAATTAGGTCCATTATCTGGTTGTCTTGGTGTTTCTTCAGTAGGGTAATTAGGTCCATAATTGGGTTGTCTTGGTGGTTGCTCAGGAGGATAGTTAGGTCCAATATCTGGTTGTCTTGGTGTTTCTTCAGTAGGGTAATTAGGTCCATAATTGGGCTGTCTTGGTGTTTCTTCAGTAGGGTAATTAGGTCCATAGTTTGGTCTTCTTGGCGATTGATCAGAAGGAAAGCTAGGTTCAAAATCTGGTATTCTTGGAAATCCTTTGGGAAAGAAATCAGGGAAATCTCCAAGATGTATTTTTGGGAATCTTTCAAACCATGATTCTGGATCGAATTCATCTCCAGGTCTACCTCCTGGAGTTCTTGGAATCATTCCTGGAAAATCTCCTGGCTGTATTCCAGGAAATTCATCTGGAAATAGTCCTCCAAAATCTGTGTCATCACCAGGTTCACCTGCAGGGGGTTTCTCAGATGAAGAATTTGACTTACAGCATGGTGGTCTTCTTGGAAATCCCCTTGGAAAACCACCACCAAAGTCTGGAAATTCGCCAATATTTATCCTTGGAAATCCACTTTCAAACGGTTCACCATGAGGCCACCATCTACTATTTACCCTTGAAAAAAATGTCAGGGAAATCTGACGGTCTTTTTGGAAATCTAGTGTGAACCCTTGTTCCTGATGGTACATCAGTAGAAGAATCTGAATTTTGGTCGTAGTTTCCTCTTGGATATCCTGTCGGGGGTTGTTCTTCCCTATCATCTGATCGTCTTCTTGAAGGTTGTCTAGGATATTGCAATGGAACTCTGGAATCAGTGCTAGGACTTCTATATGCATCACTACTTACATCTCCAGTTGCAGGAGCAGATGATATACTATGTAGACACTCACAAATGAGAAGTATCACCAACACTGTCTTCATGGTCACTGATAGCTCCACACTTAGCTCATTGTTTATATATCTGAGGTTCTGACCTATTGTTATCACTTCGCTTCACAATAGGCAAAGCCCAAACCGTCCATCTAACCTTATCAAAGTTATAAGGTACAGTAGTAAAAGATTATTGCTTTTCCTATTAATTATAATTTCTAGGCTCTTTTTCCTCACAGTGGTACAAATAAGTATTTTCAAAAAAATTATTATTTTAATAACAAAATTTTAAGTACCGGTAGGTCTATTTACAATTATTGATTTTAGACTATTATATTCTTGTTTGAAATGCTCAATAATGCAACAAAAAATGATATCCAAATAAAATCAATGTAAACCGTAAAACAAACTGTTATCTGTATTAATTATTAGAAGCAAGCATGTTTCTTTAAAACCTCAGCTCGTGTGCATCGCAGGGAAAATCTACGCATACTGTTAAAAAGATATTTTCCTGTAGGTGTACAGGATCCCTTTATAAATTAAAATAGGTTCAAAATAAAAATAAACACTAAAAATTAATTTAAAGTTAAAAAAAAATTACATGGGCCTTATGGGTTGCCATGGTGGTGACGAAATAACACAGAAAATCTAAACCAATGGAAGAAATTCCAATCACATATGTTTTATTTACAGCGTGGTGTGAAAAGTCTTTAGACCTAAATTGCATATTTTCGGTTGAGTTCAACCACTGGGCGACCTCTAGTCCATTTATCTATCCATATATAATAATAGGTAACCATGTTTCTTTAAAACCTCTTTTCTCAGCTCGTGTGAATCGTGTAAGGAAAATCTATGCATATTGTTAGAAATATATTTTCCTGTAGGTGTGCAGAATCCCTTTATAAATAAAAATAGGCACAAAAATCAATTTAATTTTTTTTTTTTATAAAATGGGCTTTAATGGGTTGCTAGGCTGGTGACGAAATAGCAACTAAATATAAACAAAAAATCAAAACAAATGAAAGAAATTCCAATCACATTTTTTATTTACAGCTTGGGGTGAAAATAGGGTTGTAGGCACATGCACCAGGCTGTATTCCTCTTAATCACGGTCGGTTGACCTGTCAGTTCTAGGTTGGCATCGAACGCTTCCGCATCATTCCGTGCATAGCCCAACTGTTCGCTTCAAATTGTTAGCTCTATTACTGTCGCTGTCAAAACGTATCGTTTATAGGTTAAATTTAAATTTAATCCAACTGTCATAACATAACCAAACTAACCAAACTTGCTGATAATTACAAATCGAATGAAGGTTTAATAAAAAAAAATTGTTCTGTTCATAAAATACTACAAATAACTACAAATGCCTAAAATTCATTTTTATAATTTTTAAATTGTAAAATTAAACTGTCATAACCTAACAAAACCAACCAAACTTGCTGATAATGAAAAAATCGTACAAAGGTTTACTAATCGAAAAATATTTCTGATCATAAAATTATAAACGCCTTAAATTCTAACAAAAGATGTACAGTTAAGAAGTAATCGCAATCTAAGCGAAATCTTTGACAAAAAGTTAACGCCTCCGGTGGGATTCAGAATTCTCGATTCCCCACCCCTCCTCCGGTGACCACTACCCTCAGGCCATAAATCAGGGGATTAACCCAAACAAAGATCTGGGCCGCTGTCCGTCTCCCGATTGTGCTGATCCAAATTACTAATCTCTGTTGAATACAAGAACTTTTTACTAAGCCAAACTGTTTGAATGACTTATTGCAAGCTTCAACAACGGTTATGTTATGACCCATCAACTATGTGAGCCACTAAATATTAGGTACAAAATATAATTTTAGACACGTGCACATTCTGTGACTGTTTCACACAGTTATGTTCTTTTTCAAAAACAAATTGGTGACAGCGAGCTGGTCCATATAGATGGGATATGTCTACTTCAGTACCTAATAATTAAAGGTAGTAGTTAATGACAATAGGTATGATTAGAAAAAGGGTGAATCGAGGCAGTTTGAAATAGTGTATTTAAAGAGGATTTACAGCAATAATACGATAGGTTGTGGATTGACAAAGATCTGCAGACATCTTATTAAAGAATCTAGATAAAAAATCATGAGAAAGTTATTTTTAAGCTACTCTGTGTTGAGGAATATCCACTGTAGCTTTACCTTTGTGTTATGAAAAAGTAAAAAATGTACTTATGAGTCATTTTGTTTCTAGATATCACAACATAAATAATAATGGTATAAATCGTGTGTTGAGTGACTATTAATTGTTGGGATAGCTGTACGAAACAACTGTGTTATGGTCCTTACAATTTTGATAGATTTTTTTATTTTTTGGAAATTTAGATTTTTAATGGGGATTTTCCCATAAAACCCAGTAAATTAACGGAAAAATAGGATTTTCCCAAAAATGGCCCGAACGATTTTGATAAAAATTTAGTATGTTATGGTTTCTCTACCTACCTTTGAGCAGGCTGAGTACGGGTAGCTAAATCGTTCTCCGGAAGATCGAGCTGAACCGCCGACCGGTAACTCTGATGATCAAACTGCAGCGGTTATCTATGGCTTCTTTCTGTAAACATGATATAGACTGATCAGTGGTTTTTCCTGTACACTTCTCCAACTCACTCAGTTACTATGCAGTCTTCATGTGAATCAAACATTATGAGGGTCTCTGAATCCCTCTAACTATTTTACTATGGGTCTCAGTATCCCATATTAAATCATCAATTATTGACTCTATTGTTTCTACAGAAGTTTTATTTAACCGTGAGGAACATTCACCAGAAGTTTGTGTGCACACAGTGTTATATTTTATTTTCTCAAGAAGTGTCAATCTCCATTACTTGGTATTAACGAACATTCATTAATTTCTTCTCTTCGAGGTCGTGAGTACATCTCTACACATCATTCCTCTTTGTCTATTTCAATTTGGACTTAAATATCTCATCAAGAGATTTCTTAACTCAAATGGATTTATTATTTTTCCAATAGTAACTCACTGTTTAGACAGATCAATAAAGTGCAGTTTGGTAGCAAAGTCAGGAATTTAATTTTTAATTCCACTTTGTTCAAACAATAATCAACCTTGTCAATAAGATAAAATAAGATAAAAATGTCTTACTTTATAATACGAGATGGCAAAGACGGCGCCCAGTGCCACCCGCTCGATGTAGCCTAGAGCCCGGTCGTCCTGTAATTCACACAAATTTACTAAGGACGTATAAACATAAATACAAATTAAATAAATTGTATATCTAAAATGGCCCGAACGATTTTGATAAAACTTTAGTATGTTGTAGCCCTTTAAATTCTGAATAAAATGGTAAATCCCATATCTGTAAAAATTACGGTTCAAAAGTTATGGTCAAATATGTTATTTTCCCATAAAAACCCTATAAAATAACAAAAAATAGGATTTTAGAAAAAATCCGGTTTTTATTTAACATAGCATGTTATGGTCCTTACAATTTTGATAGTTTTTTTCATTTTTTGGAAATTTAGATTTTTAATGGGGATTTTCCCATAAAACCCAATAAATTAACGGAGAAATAGGATTTTCCCAAAAATGGCCAAAACTTCGCAACTCGTACCAAGGATTTGTTGTACTATATCTAATGACGTCATACTGGCTTGCAATATAAATATAAATTAATAAGGCAGCTAAAAGGAATAAAAATTGTATTGTTCTTATTTTTAACCCTAGTTCCCGATAACCCGGCATTTCACAAACTCGGCACCCTTCCAGTCCACATTACGCCGAGTTTGCGGGACTCTACTGTACTTACGATCTTGTTCAAAACAAATTCCTGGATCAGTGGGCAGACTAGGAGTATTCCAGTGAAAAGGCAAACCAACCAGACTAAACGAAGTAGTCCTCCATTGTTCCCCTGGAAAAATAGTTAGGTAGGTTTTAATAATATGTTCAAGTATTGGGTGAAAAGTGAAATGCGAAGTTTTTGGACAGTTAAACACAGAGATATGGACATTAATAATGGCTTTATAAAGTCAGTAAACAGCTTTTTTAGGAGGATATGGCCGTAGCCTACAATATGTTTGAGATTTATGAATGTAATCGTCATAGTAAGTTTTAAAAATGTCTACTTATTCATGACAAATAAATAGGGAAATGGGAGGTTTCGCACACAGTTCTAGACGTTAAAACTGGCTGTAGAAAGTTGCCTAACGGTTTTTAGGAGGATATGGCCGTAGTCTACCGTGTGTTTTGAAATTCATGAATGCAATCGTCATAGTTTAATTGTTTAAATGTCTATTTGCTCATGACAAAACACAGGTGAAATGGGAGTTTATGGACAATTGGGCACGGTTTTAGGTGTTAAAAATGGCTTTAGAAAGTCACCAAACGGCTTTGAAAATTCCAAATTTTCCCGGACCCCCCTGCTTTATTGGGGGGGTGCACCCCCCAAGCCCCTCCCCCTTCACAAGGTCCTAGAACCGCTACTGGTTGGCAAGCCTAGGGTTAGGTCGGATTTCTTGCCGAAAATATTAAAATACCAATGCGATGAAAACACACTAACGAAATAAAACGCAAATCTAACAGCAAAAAACATTATTGTATGGTTTAAATACCTCTGACGGAAGAAATAAAAGTTTATGTATATAAATACAATTAGTTACGTCTTTTGGCGTTGACGTTGGATGGATACTTCAAGTAGAATTTTCATCATGTTCTTCAAATTAAAACCATAAATTTTGGACTCTGGGGATTTCAAAACGAAAAAGTAAATCCGTCCAGGGCTAGGTCTTACCTTGAGACCTACGGTAATAGCTCATTCCCTATTTGGGAATTTCTCTAAAATTAGATATTTTTATAAGTCCATATTTGTTTATCCTACGCTCTGATTATAGAATCACGCATTGACCACTGATGTACGCACTGACCCACTCATGCCAATATCAGTTAAAACAAGATTACTTTACTTGATCAA